TTTGGCGGGTCCGGGCTGGGGATTCGAACCCGCCACCTTTGGTGTACGTGGCTGGCGCCTTAGCCAGTTGAGCCATAGGCGCCGAGCCACATGTGGTTTCTCTATCAGTCTTCCCCTCAAAAAATGCTTTTTCTCCCATGGCCTTTACAAGTTCTGCTCATTTTTCTCAATCCAGTTTAGATGTTACCCACTCCAAACGATATTTCTAAGCCCAATAGGCTTTATCAATATTTATTTGCAAAATCATTTGGTACCTAAGACACTTACTGTATTTATGCTATATTATAATTTATCACATACGAATTTATCACATTCGTATGTTCTGTGCCCAACAACAAATTATTGTTTGTTTAAGAGTAATATTCATGTCCTACTACCTTTTTTTTTTTTTGAGACAGCACCTCTATATATTGCCCTGGCTAGACTCAAACAGCCAGAGGTAATAATTGTCCTGCCACAGCCTCCCTAGTAGCTGGGACTACAGGCATGCACCACTACTACTCTTGGCCCTAATATTTATTTAAACCCATTGCTAAGCACATAGTAGACTCTCAATAAATACTTTTTGATTGAAATAGTGTTATTGAGTGGCTAGATAAGCTAAACAAAATAGCACTTTAGGAGATGATTTATTTATGTCTATAAAAGATACTTCCTTAGAGACTCAAATTCAGTCATTTAAAAATATCTGATTCTTCTATTACAAACTCTCAAAAAGTATATCTGGTTTGACCTTTATATATCTGTGTTAGTTACCTGCTGTATAACAAAGCATCCCCCAAATGTAGTGTCTTAAAATAATGAACATTTGTTATCTCATAGTGTATGATAGATCAGAAATCTTGAATGTAGCTTAACTGAGTAACCCTATCTCAAAGTCTCTTATGAGGCTGCGGTCAAGGTATTAACAGGATCTGCCTTCTCATCAGAAGGCCCAACTTGCTCACATGGTTGTTGTCAGAATTCAATTCCTTATGAGTTGTTGGACTTGAGGTCCTCAGTTCCATGCTGACTGTTAGCGGGAAAACTTTCATTTTCTTGCCATGTGGGCCTCTCCAGAATAGGGCAGGTGGCTCTCTTCAGAGTGAATAACTGAGAGAAGACCATGGCAAAATATTTTGTATTCTAGTTCAGAAATTGACGTCTCATTACTTGTCATATTTTATTCATTTGATATGAATTAATACATCTAATCTACACTCAAGAGAAGGGGATTATACAAAGATGTGAGAATATCAGGAGGGTAAAGGTTAATCTTGTCTTACCCAGAGACCTCTGCTTTTAGAAAGATTCACTTGTACCCTTGTAAGACAAACCATAGAGGTGACCCCACCAATCACCCTCCCTCCCCTCATCCACCTCTCTCACCTCCCCTCTCCCACCCTCTTCCCATATTCTTATATGTCCTTTTCTCAAATGTTCACCTAGAATAAGCTAATTACTGCCAAACCCCCTCTTCCATTTTTTGGCGTAATATAACTACCAGGTTTTTGTTTCTTTTTTGAGACAGAGTCTCACTATGTTGCCCTTGGTGGAGTGCCATAGTGTCACAGCTCATAACAACCTCAAACTTTTGGGCTTAAGCCATTCCCTTGCCTCAGCCTCCCAAGTAGCTGGGACTACAGGTGCCTGCCACAACGCCTGGCTATTTTTTGATTGTAGTTGTCATTGTTGTTTGGCAGGCCCTGGCTGGTTTTGAACCCGCCAGCTCGGGTGTATGTGGCTGGCACCCTAGCCACAGAGCTACAGGCGCTGAGCCAGGTTTGTTTCTTGATTTCTGTTTATCTGAAATATCTCAAAAGTATCACGGTCTTAAGGATTCTATTTTGAAAATTTTCTTTCTTGGCTCGGCGCCTGTGGCTCAAGCGGCTAAGGCACCAGCCACATACACCTAAGGTGGCGGGTTCGAATCCCCAGCCTGGGCCCGCCAAACAACAA